CCATGGTATGTCATACCCAATATCTGGCTTAGTCAAGGCATACACATCATCTGGTTACAAGTCAACAAAACCACTAGTTGTAAGTATTAATTAATGTGCTTTTGTAGTATTATTTATTTTTTAGCCTCATGGGCTTTCTGTTGTTATATCAGCACCTGCTGTTTTTGAATTTACTGCTCCTCTTTGTCCTGAACGTCACTTAGAGGCTGCAGCATTATTAGGTATGTTGCTTAATACAGTGGAATTATTTAGTTAATTATAGGTATGGACACTACAAACTCTAAGCTAGAAGATGCTGGTAGAATCTTGGCAGAAGCAATCAGGAACTACATGTACAAAACAGGTATACCTAATGGGCTAACAGCACTAGGCTATTCATCTGAAGATATACCTAACCTTGTTCGAGGGACACTACCACAAGTAAAAGATGTTGATTGCACAGACTCGATATTATTTTCTCTATATAGCATCGTGTTACAAAGTTATCACCAAGAGCTTTTACAGAGGACCAACTGTCCATTTTATTTGAGAAATCTATGACTGTGTACTAATTACACTATTTATAGATTATAGTCTAATTGTGATTTGGTACATGTTTTGTATGAAACTCTTTTGTTGTATTTTGGCGTTTGAAACTGATTTTTATATTCATTATCCAGAAAAATTTTTCTACCCTGTTTTTTCTTGGATAATTTAAAGGATTGTTTATAACAAAATGAAATGCATCATGTATAGATAGTACAAACTATGTGTAAAAAATATTTTTAAACAATTGTAGCTCATTGCTGACTCATATCATATTAATATACAAAAGCAAAAATAATTATAGAAAATAATTAATTTTTATAAATTTAAAATTTAATTTGTGAATGCCTTCTTTGGCTTTGAAGCATCTACATGTACAAAGAGAAGTAGATAAAAAACAAAAACATAATTATTTTTTACCTGCATAAGAAAGACCTGGCTTAACAAAATTGGAACTTGTATTAGCCATGACAGACTTTGAATCAGGTTCAGTCTCAATGACTAATGGCTCATGAAAAAAGGGATCAAAATCAATAGTAGCTTTGGAATTTTTCTTTTGTTTCTTTTTCTTTCGCTGTTTACCACCACTAGCAAAAAAAGAATCTACCAAATCAGGTTTTCTATATGCTGTAAGCTTTGATTGATCTACAAATCTCATGTCTGTCATTGGAGAGTGCTGCACATCCTCGTGCTTTGGATTTCGAATATCAGTTTCATGTTCAGAGTATCCTTTCTTCAAAGGATGCTTTTGCTCTGGTTTGAGTGTTGACTTGATCTTTTTTGCTTCTTCTGATGATATAGACATTTTCATTGGACTTTCTTTGTCTTTCTTGTGCTTACTTGTCCCCAGTGAAGTTTTGGTTGGTTTTGATTGCTTTGAAATTGTGTCAGGCACACCTAATGTTGATTTACTTCCCTTTTCTGATGACTTTACCTTTTTGGTGCCAGTGCCTGTACTATCAGACAGAGTGCGTTCGAAAGGAAGAGAACTAGGTTTACAATCGACACTATGTGATCTTCCCAATTGATGAGATGGATCAATTCCAACTTTAGCTTTGAGAAACTTTGCTTCCACTTCAAGGCCAGGTGAATAATTCATCGTATTGTTATCAATGCAGAACTTAATGTACTCCTTCCAGCATTTAGAAGTGACACCCATTCTCTCCTCAGCATCCAATAATCGGAATGGATTTCCCACAGCAATGACACATTGCTTAGACCGACTGACTACAGTATTAAATATCCCAGGATTTACTAATGTCTTTGTAGAATCACTGCAGCGCCCATCCACTTCTAAAGGCTCATAGGTACTAATTATGACAATGTTGTATTCATGACCTAAAGCAAAAAATTATTTCAATCCCAATTATAAAAAATCCCCCTAAATCATTACACAAAATCATAATCTCAGGAAAAAAATAACTAGTACCTTGTATAGTGTATGTTGGTTTTAGTGAAACATGCTCAAATTTCCCTTTCATTTCCTTCTGAATAATGTTTAACTAAAGTGCATAAAGCATGATTAATCAATAATATTGCTAGATCTACCTGTTTTCTGAAGGACGATACTACACAGATATTATCTTCAAATATTTTATCTTTGGGTATCTTTGCTTCAGATTCAAGCTTCTCTAACCAGCTTATAACTGCCTTTGCTTCAATTTCCATCGCAATTGCATTTGATGGCACATCAGAATTAATGTGACAGCAGTGAAATAAACAAGGGCAAGCTGTTCTTGTTGAACAATTAGCAGCTGATTTAATGGGATATTTATAAACAACCTCAGCCAAAAATTGGGTCAGCATTGGATGACAGCGATAATTGACATCTAAGTGAATGAGAGGCAGTGTTCCTCCAATTTCATCGTATTGCCTTTCAAGTCTTTCCAGTAATGACATTTTTAATCCGTTTTCCCTAGCAATGTCGCCCAAAACAACCACAGAGGGGCCATCCTATTATCACAGTACAAAATAAATTTAGTCAAAACAAACATAGTAAACTCAAAGTAATTACAAGACTATACAGATATGTATCAGTAGTGCAGGTAGATAAAATACAATTCTAGTACACTAACACAAACAATCCTTACTTGTTTACTGTCTCCAGCCAAAACAACTTTAGTAGTTTTATCACCTAATGCAAGAGCAGCAATACATTCTGGTTCTCTAACTTGAGCTGCTTCATCAAGAAGAATATGGGTAAAACGAAAAGGACAATAATTTGAACTGAGGACACTAGCAACTTGTAACGACATTGTGTACGTAGTGATGACAACTAAGATCTGGTCATGAAAATAACGACCTCGTTTCACATCAGTTGTAAAGTTACTAATGTTACAGTAAACTATATTTGATGATTCTCTTTTGAAATCATTCGGCACAATTTTGACAACTGTAACTCCAGGCTTCATTTGCAATTCTTGAGCCAATATTTTAGTAATCGTTTCAATTGTGTAGTAATGATGTGCACAAATTAGTACTCTTGTAGGCTTTTTAAAGGCCAATCCATCGTTAACAAATTCATAAGCAGCATGGCCCAATAATTTTGTTTTACCTGATCCAAATGGACCAGTGACAATAACAGGAACACTAGATGAACTATTCAAAATTAAATCCAGAGCTTGCATTTGACCTGTATCATCAAGATTCAAATGTTTCTTATGACGAGGCTTTGCTTTGCATTTCATTGATAAACTTTTGGGAGTGCTTTCCTGTGACGGTACCACCTTTAATATCATAGAGTGAGGTATGTCAACAACAGCTTTGTGCAAAGTGTCAAAATAGTTGTGCTTCACTTCAAATTCAGCATAAATCTTGCAGCTATCTTTACCTATCCTTTGCTTAAATGTAGCCATAGCTGAGGAAGATAGCTGCAGTAAAAGCTCATCATTAATACTGTGATAATTTATTGGCAAAACATCAGCTTTGCATATCTCTTCTCTTGTTTCGCAATCCAAGATGAAGACAGCTTCACTGGCTTGTGTTGCATATTGTATTCTGTTTCCATCCATTCCTTTAATACTAGCAACATAAACACCACTTTTCTTTTCCATCAAAATGAAATTATATTCACCATTACACCTAGATGAGACATAATGACTCATTTAACTCTTAGCTTTTTAATAACACTAGAGTTGCTAAAATTAGCACAAGTGGGCAAAGCCAATCAGAGTGTGCTATTATTAGAAACAAGACAGGAAGTGATGGTGGATGGTAAATCCAATAGTGTACAAGCTAGGACACATGTATTTAATTGCTTTATTAATGACAATATAGTCAAGATTACAACTACTGTATCTTATCACTTTTAAAACCAACATTTTCAAAACCTAAGTACATGGTTTTCACAGGATCTTGGAATAGTGCTCTAGTCTCGCATAGCCAGACCTACCCACCAACCAGCAGGCACGGAGGATGGGTCTGGCTATGCAAGACTCATAGTGCTCATGCAGCTTCTTATTAGTGCGATTTTAAGTTGCTCAAAAATTGTCTACACTACAGTATACAGAGTACATTGACAAAAATCACAAGAAGAGAATTCTTTATTTTTATAATTCTTTTGATAATTACACATGTTCTAATGTTGTACAAGTATATCAAGTTTGAACTGATTTTGATCAAAATTGTTTTTAAGTTGCTCCGAAATCTGGCCAAAGACCCTGTAAAAATCTGACCAAAAACCCTGTACAATTGCCAATTAAAAAAAATGGCCATTAGAAAATTCTCTTTTTTTATATTTTGAAGTTTTAAAACAGCAATGCTATCTAATTTTCACACTTTACTGCCTTCAATATTAAACACTGCTTTTGGATAATAACGTGGCACGTGGCAATAATTATGAAACACATACTTTTCATTAAGCAGCCTAATGTGAGCTGATTCCTCATAACAAAGTAAATAATAGAACTTGTTCCGATAATTAGCTACTGTCAGCTCAGCTTCAACCTCTGTTTCTTGTAATGTAGTGTTCTCTAAACGTGACTGAAAACTAATTTTCCAATTTTCCAACTCTTGGAAAGTTTTGAGCCCTATAGTCAACAGTACAGTTCGTTAATAAATTAATGACAATAAATGACAAGTAATAACATACTTGTATGACTATGAAGTTCAGAAGCAGCCTCTTCATTTTGTAAAGATTCAAGTACCTCATCTATAGAATTAAGTACCACAGAAACTTAGAATAATATCATCAGCAAATATTTACTTGTGACATTATGAAGTTGGGCACTTGGCCTCTGATAAAAATCAAAAGCAGGCAATAAATCTCCTAAACAAAGAATGAAAGGAAACCATTCTACATACATTCACATGATGCTTTCATACCATAAATAGGACCAGCTTGTGGAATAAAAGGAGGAGCATTTGGATTATATTGAAAAGCTGATTAAACAATAAAAAACAACAATAATAAAAAGAAGTATTTTACATGTACCTAAGAAATGTTCAGTTGACTGGACTGGTACAGGAGGTTTAACTTTCATCTTTCGGACCCAGAGTGATTCTATTAAAAAATCATCAACATTACGTATTGAAGTTACTGTGACTTACTGCTTTGATGATGAATATGCATGCCACTATTATCAGACTCTGACTCAGCCATATAAGAACTACTTTCATCTTCAGTAGAACCAGAATGAAATCCAGACTCAACTTCTGACTCTATTTTGCTTCCTTCATTTAAAAGGTAATGCTAAAAACTTTTAAAAGTATGACATACTTTTTTCACTACATTCAATGACTTGTTCTTGAAATGAAATGCTAAGAACGGGTAGCTCTAAAAGTTGAGGTGGAAATGGCATATCAGATGTAACAGCAAGACATTTGGGAATTAAAAATTCTAATTCATTAGTTCCTTTTTTAATTCTTTTAAGAAGAAGTGCATGAGATTCAATAACAAGCCAGCGAGCAACAGACCTATGAATCTGATAAAGAATATCTCCATTAATGGTACTTTCTCTCAATTTCAGTATCAAAAGGTCAGTATGAAAGCATTCGCCTTTAGTAAATGGTTGAATAAGAGGTGGATATTGTCCAGGGGGAACTTCTTCAATAAAATTGACATACTTAGAAAGAGTTGTTGTTATAACATCGCTACTACAAAACTTCCGAATCATTTTGTAGAGAAGAAAATAATTAAAAAATGACCAGAAGGAATTGAGAGCAATCGTCAAATCTGCTGCTGTTTCAGCATTCTTAATTTCACTTTCAATACCTTCAAACAATTGCCCTGGATGAGCTCTATTTTGAAACACGTAAATACTTGTCTGAAGATAAAGCTTGGCTTCAGAAAATTTATTCTTAATACTTTTGTAAAGCTCTACTATCAAGGAAGCAAAACTGTTGATGATATCAGTCAGGACAGTTGTGCTCATAAAAGTGCTGTCTGGCAATTTCTATAGATAAAGTTATGCAAACAATATAAATAGAGTATATGCAAGCTTACTTTTCCAGGAATAGCAAAAACATGACCACAATCTCTGAAGGATGTGTCTCCAATGCTGATAGGAGTACTATCTGGAAATTTCTAAAAACAGATAAAGTTATGTAAACAACATGTATTATTCAAGAGTGCAAGCTGTACTTTTTCAGAAATAGCATGATGATGCTCTCTAAATAATACTGATTTAATCCGAGCACCTTCATATGCAAAGGAAGAAAGCATGCTACAAACTTCTGTAGGCAATGGGAAAATCTCCTCCAGTAAAGCTAATGGAACAGCAACCTCAACTCGTAGACAGCCTTTGTTGTATGAGCAGATGTCAAAAGAGTCAATAGATATGCCACAGGCCTCTGACACATGACGCCTTAAAGGAAGTAGAATCTCAGCTTTGGTTTTATCCTTATGTTCAAGGTGGTGTGAGGTCGTAACTTTAAGAACAAACTTTCCTGATCCAACAGGCCTTTCATCTATGCTGGAAGGCACCTCAAATAAGCATCTCTTTATGTAGGGATTGAAAACTTCGTTAACATACTTATCATAATCAGCTTTGCATGCATTGAACTTCTTAGCAATAGTACCCAAGAGTGGATGATTAAACCAGCTCATGTAGCTTTCTGCTAGCAAAGTCAATACTTCTCCAGCATCTTTAGCTGTCTTAAGCTTAGAAAACAGCTCCTTGCGATCATTTTCATCCATGTATAAAAACTTTTGCTGAGGCATTAGGTAAAGCACAAGTTCCTTAACATCAATATCTTTTAGACACCTGTAAACATCTACCATTAAAGAAGAAAAATCTAACGAAATTTGTTCAGCATCTTTATCCAATCGAGCCAATAACTCTAGTCGTAGTCTTTTGCTTAGCTTTTTGACGTTTAGGAGAGGAAATCGAGAGTTTTCCCATGGATTTGGACATCCGTTCTTCAAAAAACTAGATAATGAACACTCTCCACAGCCACAAAGAAATCTCATGTCTTCCTCCTTAACTTCTCCACCACTGTCTGAAGCTAACCCATCATCAGGAGCATCTACACAATAACAAAAAGTGCAACTGTAAAACTATGAAGTTAATTATTTTTAGAACATTATAGGCAAACTACATGCAGTTCTGTATTTCAGAAATTGACATTTGGAATTGTAAAGGTTCAAGTCTAAAGCCTACCATCCACTATTCAACTTTGTGGTTACTTTGATCTTATGGCAACTCTGTTGCCTGAAATAGAACTCAGTTCAATTTCAGGCAACAGAATTGACAGCACATCAAAGTAACCACAACGTTTCTTTCAACAAAGTTGAATAGTGGATGGTGGGCTTAATAATCATGTGCGTGTCTTGATGACTGTCAAAAATTTAGCCCTGGCTTTTGTTAGTAATTTAATTATCACAGGAATAATAATAATGCAAACTATCAGATATAATTATATAGCATATAATCTCTAGTCTCACAATGGCCATGTTAAGGGCAATGCACACAGGCAAATTAACATATACATGTACGTTACGACAGGAAGTGCTCTATAAACCAATGACCACCATTTACATACGGTAAGGATAGAAAAATTTCTATCCTTACCCTACGTTAACGGTGGTCATTGGTTTATAGAGCACTTCCTGTCGTAACATATATGTTAATTTGCCCTGTGTGCATTGCCCTTTAGACTATACGTGTACATTAATTCTCCACACTGTGCACTGTATGCAAAGTAACAAAGGCATATGACTGGGTATTATTGTAAAGTAAGGCTACACATCTAGTCTTGGTAAAAATCTACAACACAGATAGATAAAATCTGCTCTTACCTAAGTTACCTTTCTTAATCTGTTTTGATAATAAAAATATTGTTTTCTCCACAAGATCCATTCTTGAAATAAGCTTTAATGCTTCAAGTAGCATGCCATAATTAGCCTTTTCTCCATTTTTTCTGATCCATTTTTCCATATATGACTTCCTCATAAGCTCCTCATCATTCTTGTTGTTCTCCTCTATCGCTCTGACTTCGTCAAGTGTTATGTTGAGGTGACCATTGGTTAAGCGCCATTCTGAGAAGTCCTTGGCTATTACAACAGCATCTTTAAGAGGAAAGGGTCTTTTCAAGTCTTCTGGGGTAATGTTACACTCTTTAAGGATAGCTTGCAATTGATCTTCAAATGAATCTTCAGACATGCTTAAAGAGACGGGAAGTCAAACAACAGTAAACAAAATTTTTGCTGAAAGAGCAAAACAGGGCGTGTCCCTTCATAACCATGCATGCACCTATGCTTAGCCAAAAAAAATTATTAATGATGTAGAGCAAGCCTGAGAATTGTTATCTACTTTGAATGTCATAATTCCTGTCAATCTAGTCACCTAATTTCATGCACTGTTGTTGTCAAATGTTGATTACATAATAATATTTGTCAAGCTAGCTCAGATGACTATCATGACAAATTGTATTAGTACTGACTTGTAGTCACTGTCAAGGTTAACCATTGCAGCTTATCCAAAAATACTCACTTTAGTGCAAGACACATGTTGCACAAATTAAAGTCGTGCAACACTAGATAATCTAGATCTATTCATTGTTTTAATGTACAATTTTACATAGGAATGCAACTACAATTTCTATTATTATTTTAACTACTATACTGAATTGTAATGATAATAATTCAATTATTGTTAAATTTTAATGTACAATTTTACATAAGGATTATCTTGCAAGACTCCATAAAGATTTCTCAACAACTTCACCTTCACTTCTTCCCAGTTTCCAGCACCAAACAGTACAAAAAGCAAATAATTTTTTTCTTTCTCTTTTGCAAAGGATATCTCATTCCATGATAAAGCAATAGTATTTCCTCCCTCCCTGTCAGCACCAAAAATTGTGCTCTTTACTTCAATGTAGAACTCTTGACCATCAGATTCACGGAAAAACTTTATATCATATGGCAAGAGACTTTCCTCTTTTTCATTAACCCATTTTATTGTACCAACTGATCCCATTACAGGTACAGATTCAGTTGAAGACAAGAATTTGTAAACATATTCTTCTCCCCAGCGTCCAATAGCAAAATTATCTTCTTCTCCTTTTGTGTTAATTAGCATGTTCATGTTGTTATGTTTTGAAATAGTTATTTCTAAGGGCTCTAGCATTGATGCCATGTTGAACGAGTGAAAGGCATTAGTTGACTGATAAGGCAATGGAATCAATTCTTGATCATGTTGATGGTGCATTTGCTGCTCAACTTCAGAGCTTACTTTTTGTTTTTTAGGTGGAGTGCCTCCAGTCTGAAGTTCATTACTGCTTGTTGTAACATTGTTAGTACGATTGGTTTGTGAGTTTGCTGTAGATTTGTATTCAGATCGGGACTCTATATTTAATGCCGCAGAAGTAGACTGGGATCCAGAATGAGGTCCTGTGTGAGATCCTGTCTGAGCAGTCTGATATCTGCGCTGATAGTCTGTATCAGATAGAGCGTGTGATTCATCATGCAATGATAGTGACTTCCTTTCTTCATCAACGTTATCATGCCCATCTTCCTGTCTCAACCTCTTATGCATATTGCCTTCACCTTTCATCCTTTGGATGTCATCACTTGTAATCACATCTCTCTTGGTCACTTGTCTACTACTGCCCAAATGTGAAGCAGATTGTTGTGCTTCTAATTTCATCTTTTCAGTGTATTCAACATCAAGGAATGATGGAGCTTTCGGAGGCCATGCCTTTAAGCCACTGCTATCACCACTACTTGAACTATTTTGTGCATGAGCTCCATAAACAGGCTTTACTTCGACTTCAACTTCAACTTCAGTTACAGGAGGAGATTTTTCTTCCACTTTTGTCTCGGTAACAAAAGCAGTTGATTTTGGTAGTTCAACATCCCATCTGGGTACATCAGGTGGTAAGGAAGTAAGAGAATATTTGCTAATAAAAGATTCTTGACTTTCCTTAGATCTAGGATCTTCTAATAACAGCTCTTGTATAATTAATGAAAGAGATTGGCTGAGATCAGACATCAAACCTTTAGGCAACGCCAGAGACAGTATCACATTAACTAGTGACATCATCTCAACAATTTTGCTGTTATCATTGACCACTACGTATATTACTGGTGGCGTCTCTGGCTTCATATCAAGCATGCATTGCTTCAATTGAGCATTAGCATAGTGAATTTTGTGCAAGCAATATGTACAATTGAGCTCCAGGGTAGAAAAAATGGTTAAGTCAGATAAGGTCTGTGTTACTGCCTCGAAATGGTTCAAAGGAATGTTTTCCCCTTTGAATTTGTTAAAAAGATAAAGCTGGAGCAGAGGCATGATGTAGTGGAAACGTACCTTGAGATCATTATAAGGTCTAATAGCTGCAGGATTCAGATCAGTTGATATATTCTTACTGACTAATGGTATTTGAAAGAGTTTTATAACTCTCTTTATTTGGTTTGATTTCATGCCAGCATCACTGAGAAAGTGAACTTGCTCATCTTGTAGAAAGTGCTTTGATATGTCATGATTATCATCAACAAAAAGACTATCAAATGACACCCACTTTTTACTGGGAAATACAGGCAGTGGCCTAACTTTAGCAGAAACATACTGCCTGTTGACTTCAAAGTCACCTTCAGATTCCGCTGCATTAAAAATTGCTTCAATGATTGAATAAAATGATTTGATGTGATCCTCCGAAGGAATATGTGTGAGAGAAGCATTAAATTCTAGCAACTCAATCATGGCCTCAATGCTCATATCTTTCACCACTTGAAGGATGAAGAAAGCATTCTTTATTTTCCATTTAAGACTCTCATCATCTTTGCTATTGTAGAAAAAAGACAATATTTGAGGAAGATGATCAGGATAACATTTCCGTTTAGCTAACATGTTATACAAAACTTCAGTTTTGTCTGTCCAGCATGCCTTCTTGGCTGTAACAAATGTCCCTGACACACATTCTGAAGAATCACCCCTCCACTGATTTATAGAAGGTACAAATATCAGAGGCTTCTCATTGAAGTCGACTCTATTGTGTGTCAGATCACTTAGATGAATATAAACCTGTCTCATATGATCAATGGACGAGCTAAAAGTTGAAGACTCTGACCACTTACATAACAGGCGGTACAGCTCAACACAAGATATTTCAGTTTGCACACACAAGTGCTTTAACAAGCTAATATGAATACCGTCAACAACTATGTACGGAACATTATCATGAAGGAGGTTTTTCAAATCATCTGTCATACTGTAGAGCTGTGATCCTTGAAGGAGGCAGGTAGAGTAAGGTTCCCCATCAATATTGACAGCAGGTAACCAAGCTTTGCTTGATAACAAATGACCAAAAGTAGAGGAGCCTGCAGTGCCTAATTCATGAGTGTTGCTCCCATCATAATATAATGCAGTTACACATTTACTATAAAGAGCATTCCATGATGAATTAAGAAGCTGCAACAAAATTTTCATCTGCTTGACTTGTTTTGAGGAACTGAGGCTTTGTATGGAGCTGAAAATCAATTCGAAATCCTTAGAAAAGTAATCATGTATTGTATAATAGCCGTCAGGTGAATTCTTTAAGTTTGAAATAATCCATTTAGACTTGATCTAAATAAAGTGTAAAGAAAATACATAATATCAAAGATAATATAAGTGAACTATAATTTTAGCAACTTTAAAAAAGCAAGATGCAAGTAGACCAATCTTTATACAAAATTACAAAGTACAAACAAATGTGACAAAGGTCAAAAGCTTAATGCAACACATAATTCTATGTATAATTCAGCCCACATAATTAATTTATTCTTAAAATCTATAATCTTTGGTATATTACCTCAATAGAATGAATTTTTTTATTAATTTTTTCCACTGCAATGCCTTCTTCAACTCCAAGACTGGTTAAAAACTTTTTCCAGTTCTTTTTATTTCCAAAGTTCAGATATTTAGGAGAGACAACAACCCATTTCACATCTATTATAAAATAAAAAGCAACAGTATAAATAATTTTTAATAATAATGTAAATTATGTACAAACTACACTCACAAGCAGAATAAGGTAAGTGTAACATGTATAAGGAATTCAATCATGTATATATTGCATGTGAATTTATTTTATGATCCCTTGATATTAGCAAAAATAGGGTATCCTATTCCGAATTCTTTTACATTAGTACAAGTAATAAAAACAGTGAAACACACAGATTCAAAAAATTTTGAAGTGCCCATACAAAAGTAATTATGATTTACAGACAACAAATTTTTTTTGGCAAAATGTAGTACAGTAGACACTTATTAATAAGACCCCATATGAAAGTAACACTCAACATAATGAAGCACCATGGTGCGTGGACTCGCCTGCTGAGATTCACCTGAGGGATAATATGTTACTTGTACTGCCCCCATCATGATATTATATATATAAGCAACTTGATATTTGAAAAAAAGGATAATAAATTTTGACAAAGTGCAAAGTGCAACAATGCAATTACTGCACTGATCCATAAAATAAATTTTAGGTGTGGTCAGCAGTGCAGTGCAGATAAACATGGCACATGGGTAGGAGAAAGAAGAAAAGCTGAAATTTATTTTAGCATCTGAAGCTCTATTCAAAGAAGGAGTAAGCACAAAAAATTTGCCTAGATATTTAAAAGAGACTGAGATAGTTTGGTTGCTCCTGCTTTCCCCAGTGCTGCCTGAAAATTTTTCGAAGAGGCTAAATCACAAACTTTGAGCAACTGTAACTTGCAAACAAAAAAGAGATTAGAAAATTCCCACATATTTTTTAATCTATGTACTTTTCTCTACCTATCAATGCTAATCTTGACCAAATAGAGTGAAACACGAAGATTTGGCTAGGAAAAGTGGTCTATTCTTGAAAATATTTGGCTTTTGCTACCACGGATTGCTATGAAAACACAACGGAGCTAAATAAATTATCTTTTTCTCAAAGCATAAAAAGAATTATAAGTCAGGAGAGCTCAGTAAAAAAGATATTGACTAGGAATTAACAGGAATTTTTGTGACAGAATGACAACCCAACTGCATAGTACCCGCCTACACAAGCGTGGTGAGTCCAATTATAGTACCATTAAATCATTTTACCAGGTTTATCTCATTCGTAACAACACACAATGCCAAATTTTTGAAGGCTGTAAATTTCCTAAAATTACCTAAAATCTATTTCGTGGATTCATATTTTCCACAAATTTATGACATCTGCCTTCTTGTACCATAATAGTTTGATTTTTTGTGAAACTAATTTTTATAAATCTTCAAAAAAATCACAAAATCTATGAAATTTACATCCCTCAAAAATTTTGCACTATACGGCACATAAGTAACACCATGTGTGCAATGGAAGTACTATAGGACATGTTCCAGATGACTTAGCTGCTACACTGAACCCACTCATAAACTTTTAGGGTTTGAAATCATAGACTCAGTACCAGGATTGAGGAAGTGGAAATGTACTTCTTTGTCCTGTATTGTACTTAGAACAAAAATGCACAAGTTTCATGTATGAAGCACTTGAGTAAATGCAAAACAAAGAAGAGGTAAACTACATGACTCATCATTCCTATGCCATATGTAGCTATCACACTAGCTGCCATTATTAATACAACTCTCTACATAAAAGTAACAAACATACTTCCCCATTGATGTCACTGATACCAATAAAACACCTAGTATTAACGAGACACCAAAGGTGTGTGGCCTCGCCCCTAAAGCTGTTTGGGAGATGTTAGGCTTAGCCCAAGCCAGTATATTTAAATGATGTGATCAAAAGTAACAGACTGGGCAAGTGTGAAAAGTATGATGGGACTCTGGAGTCCCTGTAAAAACTGGTAAAATGTCAGTATTCATAAATCCCTATTAGCATCTCAAGATTTATCCCTTATTGATATCACACTATTTATACTTATTGCACTCCCATTTTGAAAACAACTTGACATCATGTGTTTCAAAACCACAGCTTTTGTTGTGGCCACCATCTTTCAAAAACATACTATAAAAAAATTAGAAAGTGTGCTCCTGAGGCCAAGGGATTATCATAACAGCTAGCTTCCTAGCTGCAGTTTCAGTTACACTTGCTCTTGCATGCTTGCAGAAGTGGCAGGCTCCAGCAACTCCCAGATTGGAGGCGTGGCATAAACTATCAATAATGCAGCAAGACCATGTGAGAAAGAAGCTTCAGATTTTTTTCTCTTCTAAGCGCTATATGATGTCATAATGGCACAAATACTGTTGCCTAGATAGATTGAGTGATTTAAATGGGGTTTAGGATCCTTAGACTAGCCAACTACTGCTAACCACTTCACTCGGGATAAAATTCAAGTAGCTATAACTCACCAACAAGAAAGATTTAAAGAGTTCCACACATATTAAATGTATAAATAGTCTTGATCTACTGGGAAAGAGTCTCATTTACTTCCAGAGTACTGCCACTATTGCTGGGCATTTTCTCGTGAGTTAAAACACTTCTACTACCTAGAGCTGCTCTCTAAACATCTCGGGGCAGTAAAGCAAGACTTTTCCTAAGCTCTCACAGATTTAGAGCACGCGATTGTAAAGATATACATTCTTAAAGACAAAATATAGCACACCAAATGAACGAGAGCACTAAAGTGCATACCCTCGACACAATCTGTACGTAACAGTTTCAATAAATTAAGAGTAAATAATTGGTGAAAGTTTTTAGACAGAGAAGAAGCTTCAGCATGTACTAGATTTATTAAAACTTAGTGAATGTTTTAGACAGACAGAGAATTTTTTTGTTTTTTTAGACAAAGAGCTCCAGCATATTTGCTGCACTGCTGCTAGCTGCAGCAATGTAAAGGTGTGGCTGCAATGAAGGTGTGGTCATAGATATTAGAGTAAATGAAAGGGATAGGAAACTTCCGTTACGTGGGTGGATTATTCCATTGAGATTATTAGGTTGCCTAGCAACTTAAGCTAGTTATCCCTGGCCAGACTTGCTCTCTCCATCTCTGCAGCACTGATTCTCACCTATAGCACTTGCATAGTAGTGATTGCAGTGCCATATGATACTTCAAAGAAATCAGCTGTTATACCACTATCATGCTGTAGCCAAAAATAGCAAGATTTACGCTCTTCTATTGCATTTATTAGCGATTAAAAGTTAAAAAAGTACTAGTTTGTTCTTTGGTCCCCATTATCTCAAAAGCAATATTATAAATGAAAGATTTAAAGCAAGCCCTTATTAAAGAATTCTTTTCTTTAGGTCTTCCAACTTTAATAATTCCAAAAGCTTGTTTTCTCGACATTTTATGCTCAAAAACAAGTAAACTTTCCGTATTTAGTTGGGTACCATTATCTCACTGCTTGAACGAGTAATGACTAAAGAGGCTTCAGATACAGAATCTAGATGAGTTATTCTGGGTCTTCCGCCCATTATCTTGTCTTTGCGAAGCATACTTTTGCTATTACAAGGGACAAATTAAGGCCTAGTCAGGCTAGTCGCCCATAGTGGCTATGGGAAACGAAGTGGCTACGGAACCGGTACCGGTTTCCATTTTCAAGGTCTTATAGAACCGGCATGATCACGTGGTGCCTAAACCACGCCCATTTTAACGAGCTAATTAAATAGTAATTATTGATTAATCATTATCTGAAATTAACTTCCTTATTTTCTTTCTTTAATTTTGTTTATCTCACAATTATTCATCATTGTTTCTTTGAATTCACTCTTTTTATTGTTATAGTTTATCAAAGTACTTTTTTAAT